GATTATTAATTAATAACTAATAGAACAATTGATATATATTAATTAATAAATTAAAATCAATCAATAAGCAAATACTTTCAAAGACTACTTAAGAACAAAAACTAAAATTTTGGTGAGCTTAACATTTTTTATAGTGGTAATAACCATACCCATAATACTCATGTAACTCTTAGTTATTTCTCTTCAACTATTATAAAAAAAAACCATCAATAAAATTAATGAATTATCTTCTCCATTCAACTTTAATTCTCTTATTTAACCTTTTAAATATGAATTTAAATAAAATAAAAATTTTAACAATGTATACAAAAGATAATTAGACTTTTTTTCTTATATAAATTTTGTTAAATAGTATCATTTAATAAAAAAATTTTAAGTATTATTTATATTATTTTAAATATTCATTGAAAATTCATGTTTGAATAGTTTAACAGTTAAAATAAATCAATCAACTAAATTCGAAGACAGGGGGTAGTTTTTTCTTTTTTCTTTTTCTCAGGTTCTTAAATAGAGTATAGTCAATTTTTTTTGTACCTAGTAACTACAAATCAGGGTTTTGACAGACATTAAAAACCTTGAAATTTATGAAGAAAAAAAAACCCCTTGAAAAAGATGTTGATTTCGTTCGCACCTAGTAGGAGCTAGTATTTCATCCAGTAATTTTACTAATCCTAACATGTTGCAAGTTAAGCGTTTGCCTCTTTTCCGGACAGATAACAAATCTTGTCCTCAGGGGAAGACTTTCCCGCCACATCCTCATGAAGATGCTTTAATTATCCTTAGCCCATCCCTACAATGAAATTTTGGAAGATGAGAATTTTTTTTTATTTTTTTTATGAAAAAGTGTTTTTACAAATTGAATTACACTTCAAAAACTTAAAAATATAGTATAATTTATAAATTTATTAAACTATTCTTAATAAAATTATTTGTTATGTTATTTCATTAATTATAATTTAATAATTTAAGTATCTAAACTGCACTTTTTCCATCCATAACAAATATGAAGTGCAAATGCTAACAAGTTACTATTCCATCTAATAATTTTCCTAACAGGCTGTAATCAGTTAAGGTCTTCCTTGTCTATAACTAGCACGAATGTGCAAATGCTAAGGGTTTGCCTCTTTTTAGGACAGATAGAGACAACAAATCTTCATAATTATGACGAGCAAACATATATTCACATTAGTCAAATTGCATATCCTTTTCAGTATGGTAGAATGGAAAAATAATTTTATTATAAGAACTGACAATAATACCGTATTTTAGAAGAAATAGCGTTAGTCATGGTCTTCCACCAACACGTTTAAGTCTTCCTCTAATAATTTACAAGTAACATCAAGGTTTGTTTCTTTATTGGGACAAAAAGACAATGAATCTTTGTATTTAAGACGAGGAAACATCTATTCACATTAGTCAAATTGCATATCCCCTCTAATACGGTAGAATATAAAAGTGATTTTATCATAAGAATTGACAATAATATCGTGTTTTAGAAAAAATAGCAAGTTAGTCACGGTCTTCCATTAACACGTCTAAGTCTTCCTCTAATAATTTACAAGTAATGTCAAGGTTTGTTTCTTTATTGGGACAAAGAGACAACGAATCTTTGTACTTACGACGAGAAAACATCTATTCATATTAGTCAAATTGCATATCCCTTCCAATATGATAGAATGGAAAAAGTGATTTTCTTATAAGAACTGACAATAATACCATGTTTTAGAAGAAATAGCAAGTTAGTCATGGTCTTCCACTAACACGTCTAAGTCTTCCTCTAATAATTTACAAGTAACGTCAATGTTTGTTTCTTTATTGGGACAAAGAGAATGAATCTTTGTACTTACAACGAGGAAACATCTATTCACATTAGTCAAATTACATATCCCCTCTAATACGGTAGAATAGAAAAGTGATTTTATCATAAAAACTGACAATAATACCGTGTTTTGAAAGAAATAGCAAGTTAGTCATGGTCTTCCACTAACACATCTAAGTCTTCCTCTAATAATTTACAAGTAACGTCAAGGTTTGTTTCTTTATTGGGACATAGAGACAACGAATCTTCGTGCTTG